ACAGACAGACAGACATACACACACACACATATATATATATATATATATACAGGGACACATGCTTTCTGTTACACTTGTAAGCGTGTGGGGTAGAAGGTCCGCAGCCTGTGATGCTGCACAGTAGCTGGGTCTGAAGTATACCCTAAGGGTCCAAGTACTTAATAATCATATACTCTTCTGAATACTAACCTACAAAACTACTTATCCGTAACCCAAGTGTATGACCAAAGGACCCTGAGGGATATTGTCAGATGGGTACAGAGTGCATAAAGGTACATAGGTTTATACATATACTGAGGTTCCCTGGGATGCAGAATCGTTTCGTTGGCGATTGTAGTGTAGAGCTCATACGAGAAAGCTCTGCACTGACCGGAGGAGCCTTGGCGCTTTCACGACAAGCCAATTGTAGATCCTTGGCTTCATGGGTTGGGTGCTGGCCGGTGAGGCTTAGGCCTGAAGTCTTATTAATGGCAAAGGAATCAACAAAGCAGTGCAACAATAGAAGCAGTCGTCGCAGAAGGAGTGGTGGTAGTGTGTAGCAGCAGAGCAGGAGTAGCATTAGCAGGCCATGGTGTACCTTACATCATTGCTACATCGTTGGTGTTTCTGCTTGCGGTCCAAGTCAACACTTTGATGCATCTTCTACTTTACTACTTTAGCCAATTCTTGCATGTTCTTCTTGCTATCACGAACAGCAAAGGTAAAAACTTGCCAACCTTGCTGTCATCCTCAGCTCGGGGTACCACATGGGGGTTTCCGAAAATAGGGCCCCTAATATAGTACCCCAAATAATAGGATCCTTATTATAAGGACCCCAAAATAGGTACCCCTCATTTTTTGAAATTCCCACATTGCAAAGCCAGAAGTGGCCCAGGAGTGCCTAAACCCTAAACCCTAAACCCCAAACCCTAAACCCTAAACCGCCAGGAGTGCTACGTCTTCTGCTTCTATTGGACCCTTGGCGTGATGCGCACGATGCCGGCGGAGGTTACGCCCGTCAATCTGCTTGAGCGCAACCCGGCCTTTTGTAGAGTTTCGACGTTTTGACAATGCCTAGGTTTTCAATTTTTCGGTTTAAGAAGTTCGGTCGGGTTTGCGAGCTTCGGGTCTGCACTCAAGGCGATGATTCACGCGATTACCTTTTGTTGCTTCTTCTCAGCCCTCATCTTAAACATTCCATTGTTTGGGCCCTTCCAGAGGCCGTCCGTGCATCGAGCTACGGAACGAAATTTTCGTTTTTGCCGACAAACGTTCTTCATGGGCGGTGCTTCGACACCTCAAGGGGCTTAGGGGCCTGCAGCTCGTGCAATACCCGAGACCGAGTATCGGCCCCAATGAGCCTCCCGAACAACAGAGACTTAGGGGTTAGGGTTTAGGGTTTAGGGGTTTAGGGTTTAGGGTTTAGGACTCTCAATGACTGCCAGCTTATCCTCTTCGACGCCCCTCTTTACCTCAAATCCATCAAACTCGCATCTCCTTGCAGTCCTAGACTCCGAGACCTTAGGAGCTTAAGTCCTACGGTTCCGAATGGTTCCTTGGGTCTGAAGACAAAGCTCCACGGATTCGACACGATGCGTACCGGCTCAGGTATCTTTGTGCTTTGCTTCATGTTCTTTGCACTGTCGCTTGGCCGACATCTTGACACAGCATGCTGCAATGGGGTTAGATTGACAGGTTTGGGTCACAGGTTCTACGGAGAGGGGTAAGCTATACGTTGTCTAGACACTTCTCCCACCGTGTTTGCCTAAACAGCAAGCTGCATATGCTTGTGGGCATGTCCCCTGAACCCCAAACCCTTGAGATCATGATGGCAGTTGGAACCAGGATGGTGATTGACAGCAGCAGCAGCAGCAGTCTTCGTAGCATCAGCATGGGTTGTAGCAGCGCGCCGCTGGCAGCAGCAGTGGCAGTACTAGTAGCAGGACGGGGCTGAGGAGGAGTAGTGGCGCGAGCCAGGCAGGGCAACGGCATGGATAACGCCTCTTATTATTGCTCCGAATCCCTAAACCCTAAACCCTAAACCCAAAACCTAAACCCTAAACCCTAAACCCTAAACCCTAAAGGAACGACGTATCAACCACATCGAACAACAGACATCTACGAAGCTGACTCTCGCCCTTCCGTCTGAGAGGCGACAGTTGCGAGGAGTACTGAACTAAAACGGCTGAGCAGTGTAATTATCCTAAACCCAATCGGGAGTTTCAGAAAATTGGGGGTACCTTATTTTGGGGTCCTTATAATAGGGATCCTACTATTTAGGGTACTATGTTAGGGTCCCCTATTTTCGGACACCCCCAATCGGCCCCCCGAATCCGAAGCAGCTAAACTCCTTGAGGTCTGCCTTCGCAGTTTCAGTCGCATCTTTGACGCAAGCGTACTTCAAGATCAGCGAGCGGAACCGATCCTTCAACGATGAGATGTTTGCAATTCGAATGCCGCCGGCCTGATATTGATTTAGGGTTCACAGTGTCGTTGGGGCAGTTTAGAACAGCAAGTTTAGTCAGTTTAGTCGTCAGCCAGGCAGATCCCACCGTCTCGGTTCGTATTGTTGTTGGCAGAGCATTGGGCACCAGAGTCGTCATCATCATTACAGTAGTGGTGCTGGTTCCGATCGATGCTTGCCAAGTTGAATGTGTGGCTGTTTCGCTTTGAGCACCCTTGTACTCTGCATTGCTGTTGCTGTCAGTTTTGTTGTTGTCGCTGCTGTAGTCGTGGACACACCCGTATTGTTAGTTGCCGTAGAGCTCTTCCTCTTGTGTTTGTTTGATTTGTGTTTTGGTTTTAAAAATTGTTTATGTTTTGGCTGCTTGGCTACTCGCATCAGCCTTTCCTCAATATTGGTGTGCTGCCTGTTTTGCCGTACAGGTCCGGGTTGCACTTCTGCTAACATCACTTCACTCGTTCGTGTTGCACCTGTAGCTGCTGACACTCGCGGGTAACAACTGACACGATTGACACCTTGGGCGACTTTCCCCGAGTTTGTGGGTGCTGCCTCCGCTAGAGCAGTCGTTGCTCGTACTCCTACCCTTCTTGCTGCGGCAGTCTCTGTTGCTGCCAGCATGTCCAGAATATTCTCAGTCTCATTGTTCTTGTTTCGGGCCACTCACTCATGCGATCTGGCTTTGTTTGTGGTGCGCGGCTGAGGGGAAGCCATCTCCTGTGGGCTAAGGGTTAGACGTTAGTTGACTAGGGCTGGTGTTAGTGTAGTTTCCATATCTCACATTCTTCGCTTCGCTTCAGAACCAAGAAAGGACCCTGACACTCCAAGCAGCATGAAGCAACGAAGACCTTTGTCACAAACCGCCAAACTCTAAATTGACTTAAAGTCCCAAACCCCTCAAACCTTGAAGCCCGCTAAAGCCCTAAGGCCCTAAGACTGCCTGCCCTAAATCTCATCCGAGGCACATGCACAAGCTCAAGTTGGAAGACCACTCCCAGCGCCGTATCAAGGCGACCAAGTGGTGAACTTATTCATCCTGCGCGGGGTGTTGGCAACTAATATAGGGCCTTAATAACTAGAATAGGGTTTGGGGGGGTATATTAATATACCATAAATTGTCAGAAGGAGCCACCAAAGCCTTATTCTAACTGTTATGGCCCCTACATTACGTAACTCTTACCTTTTTTGGGGGGTTACAATGACAGGCGCTATGAGGGTTTCTATAAGGCCTATACAAGGATTTAGACGGCGTCTGTTGAGTAGAGTAGGTAGCCTTTAAGACTTTTGGTGGTATTATAAACCATACATAATCCCGAAGGCTGGGCTTTAGTAGGTTTTGTACTGCTGAAGCTTTCACTGAATCGTCGCGCCCGCGGTCGCCAGAGCCTTTGTAATTGTATTTGGCCTCAGTACGTTTCGAGATTCCGATCGTCACCATTACTATACTGACCTTAAACCCTATAACCCCTAATTACTATATCTGATGTAGCAAACTAGGTTCCGGTTCTACGAGGTCCGAATCATTTCTCGAACCGATATTCCGAGCTTCAGAATTCTGGGTTTAGGGTCGGAGGTCGGGAGTTTAGTATTACAGTATCTAAACCTGAAAGCACCGTAAGCCCTGCTTCTGGAACTTCAGTGCTTTAAACCCTCAACAGGTATTCGGTATTCAGTCTTGTCGTCGCCGCCGAGATTTTATTCCGGATTCTTTCATGGCATACCACAGTCTCAGCGCCAAGTGACAAAGTTCTCCACCATTCTACGCCGTTCAGAGAATGCTCAGTCAAGCGTGCTTGTTTAGAGAACCCCGCTCTGCCCCCCCCCCACAATTGTTGCACATAGTTTGCATATTGGCCTTTACCCGGTGACCTAAACCCTCAACCCTAAAAGTGTTTCAACCCTAAGCTTTGAATGCGATCCTAGACCCGGCAGCCGTGAATCCCGTGAACCCCGAAACCCCGCGGAACCCCTAGACCCTAATGTAGGAATCAGATTAAGAAACCCTGGCCCTATAACCCCACATATATTAGGGTTCATGTTAAGAACCCTAATAAAGACCCAGGGTTTCTTAATCAGGTTCCTATATTAGACCCATTGAGAAGCCTAGTCAATGCCCTAAACCCTAAACCCTAAACCCTGAACCCAAAACCCTATGCTAAGGTTTAGGAGTGTAAAGTTTAGGGGTTTGGGGTTTAGGGGTTAAGGGTTTAGGGATCCAAACCCTAAGCCCTAAACCGCACAAGTGGCTGAGTCACCACAATGGATGTGGCATCGATTCCCTGAAGTAGTCCGACCCAAAAATCATCCGACCAGAGCTGCCAGAGGTGTAATCTAGACTTATACAGAAGCCTGAACAATTACGAACACTATTCGGCAGGGTTTCTTATCATATACATATATATATATATATATATATATAGATAGATAGATAGTATAGCCCCAAGCCTGGTTCTAATCATTATTCAGGCCCCTATATGAAGTGGCATCTGGGCATCTCCAGGGGTAGCTTTAAAAGAAGTACCGCGGAAAGTCCGCCTTGATAGGCCTTCACCCATAACCCTAAAACCCCTAAACCCTGAACTCCTATTTGTTATTGGTTTAGGGTTTAGGGTTTAGGGTTTCGGGTTTAGGGTTTAGGGTAGATTCCTTTGTGGTGTAGCAGTGATTGCCAGCCTACAGTCTAGTTGCTTAATCTAGTTGCACGCAAGAGACCTCGTCTGGCGGAGTCCGAGTTGCGAGAGCGTAAACCCTGAACTCCAAACTGCGTTTAACCCCCAGCGTCCCGCAGCTAATAGGGAAGTTCTCTAAATTAGGTTTTTTTTGGGGTACCTTTTTTTATTATCAAGGGTGCCGTACTTTATGTTGGGGAGCTAAGACCCTGATTCTGTGAGTTGGGAGAGTTCAATGCACATCTTCCGCTAGTCACCAAGCTCGATTTGCAAAGCCGGGTCTCTACACTTTCAACCCCGAGTTCGAAGCCTGGGAAAGCGTACCCTCCGGTTTAGGGTTTAGAGTTTAGGGTTTAGGGTGGATTCAACAGGACTACATCACGCACCGGTTCAACCGCAGGCGGATGCTGGCCAAGGAGGTCGGAACCACGAGGGGTCTTGGTGTTTGGAGGGTCTTACAAGACCCCCTAGAGGAAAGTTAGTCTAATCACAGAGGCCCCTACGATTCCAAAACCGTCTCGCACCGAAGCTGTGGTTCGTAACATGGAGCTGAAGACATAACCGCACATGCCCAGAAATCCCTGAGCTAGTCAGCTTTCACGACCCAGGCCCTAATCACCGTATCTTAACCGTGTCTGGTGTTTCAGAGCTTTAAATGAATGTGCATGGGAGGCAGAAGGCCCTCCGCGACTCCGTTCGAGCTGAGGGTTGAGGGTTTAGCAGACCCCGCAAGCTTCAAGCACAGATCCTGCAGACCGGGAGCGAGGTTACAAAGGGATAATATGGGGGCCTTGATAATTTGACTATATTATGATGGAGTGTGCGGAGTAGGTGCAGAGTCTTTTGCTAATGGTTGTAGCCTGGCTTCAAAATGTGATCACCATTGGCAGGTGAACATCGTTGACAACCTTCCGAAAGCCTTGCAGAACGAAGTCAAGTATGCAACGGCCACGGCCTCAGCAAATGCGCTTCGTTGCCATCCACAGGGGAGGACAACATAGACCCCCTATAGCCCCTGCATAGCATGAGCCTTGAGACATGCAGTTTTGGCATCGAGTCCGCCTCACGCATCCTTACGCCGACATGCAGTGGAATGATTCCCGTTGTGATGATTCCGCATCTTCTTTTTGAATGGAAAAGAGAACTAAGATTTCCAAAGCCCATGTATTTCTAAGAGGGTGAGCAGCTTCTGACAATTACAGCTGCAACGACTGAGGCCCTGCAGTACGTCCAGAGGTTGTCGGTGATTTCCGACTTATCCAAAGATGCGATCAAGAAGATTTGCTTGGAATTCGCGCAGCCCTCAGATACGACAGGCAACGGGAAGCTGTTTTACAGGATTGTGCTCTCCACGACGAGGGTTTCGGGATTTGTGGCTCGCACTCGCATGTCTTTGCTGGTCATCCAGCTCTGGAATGTTTGCGGGGGCCATGAGGGAGGGCGTATCTTTTCTATGTCTTCTGTCACTTCATCGGCATTCCGCCTGAGAAGCTGAATGCTACTATTGGATCTTGCTTACGACCGTCGAAAGCAGACTTGCGAAACACCGCTGTCACGTGCAGTGCTGTGTTCTCAGTTGTTATTGAGTTTGCGTGCGTGCTGCTGCTTGCCATTGTTCTACACCGTTTCACTACTGAGTACTACTGCCGTAGTTACTCGTACTTGCTCGTGTTGGAAATCTGCGATTGGTTGAGTCTCTAGGCCAGTCCAATCTAGCCATGTGCTTGCATCAATGGCGGTCAGATGAATCGACTCATGCTTGTTTCACATGCGGATGGTTTCCCTGGTAACACCTTGAGTATTAACGAGACACCGGGGAACCAGGAGTAATTAGTCACAGTAGTTGTCGTGGTAGGCGTAGTAGGTGCATGGTTTTAAGCGTCCTGGTGGTGGTGGTGGCAAGGATGGTTGCAAGCAGTCAGGTCAGAGGTCCCGATGGCAGGGCAGATGCAGCAGGAGGAGTAGCAACAACAGCAGGAGTTGCAGGCTCATCATCTTGGGCAACAAGAAACAAAAAAGCCGCAGTGGTAGCTATAGGGGAAAATACAGACCACTGCTATACACAGTGTACAGCGTAGTGCCCATCACCGCGGTCAAGTGCGTCTTTCTCAGGAACCGAAAGACTACCTTCCGGAGACGCAGCTGTGCGTTGCTGGCCACGAAGCCAGCGTCGCGCGGCTCCTGTGTGCCGGAACACTTTCGGCAGCTGGGCTGCAACAAGGATGGTTCTTCAACGACAAGTATCTGTTTTCGTCCTACGCATTCCTGTATACATACATAATTGTTACATAATCATACATACACACACACACACATATATATATATATATATTTATTATATATATAAGTATAGGAGAGAGAGAGAGAGAGAGTACCCCACAACCTTTTAAAACGAGTCACTCAGTACACGAGACTTTTCAAGACGAGAATAGGACTTGCTTAGGCTTGTCTCCCGGCTCAGGCCAAAGACATCAACCAGATCGCTGTCGAGGTGCCGCATGATGCCATCATTGATGAGGCCGGAAGCTCACATCAAGCACACGGACATGGAGGTCAGCTTGACCCTAAGAGTCCAAGTACCTAGTAATCATATACTCTTCTGAATACTAACCTACAAAACTAATATCCGTAACCCAAGTACATGATTATTAGATCCTTTGGACCCTTAGGGTGAGGAGCCGAAGCCTGCAAGGAACTGCTTACCGTAAGAAGCATGTCCCGTCCCGGATGAGACCTTCTGTATTCATGGGGGTTCCGAAACGAATCCTTACACATGATGTAGCAGGGGCATCAAAAACGCTGGAGAGATTTTCTTGCTGTGTGTAGATGCCCAGTGCTCGAAACGGTAAATGGTTGATGTGGCTCGAGTTCGCGAGTTCTGCGACAGTATCGGTGTGTACATCTTGATTTCGCTGCCGATGTGTTCCAGTAATGACTTCCACGGTGTGAGCCTTTGCAATACAAAAGCTGTAACCAAGCCTGTGACGCTTTCATTCAAGACTTCCCAGTTCTTTTCCATCTCTTCTATTGATTGTTGAGGAACGTTACCGTAGGAGCGGCTTGGAGGCCCCAATGAGCAGTGAAAGTATATTATCGGGTCAGGGTTTTACGACCCAGCCCGACAGTCAACGCCACTTTGCAGGCGTGCCTGGAGACGGAGGAGCTTGCAGATTTGGTGTTATCCATCTAAAGCCGACAGCTTGCGTCATAGATACATCCTGCGTCGTCGTTGTGGTCCAGGGGCTTTATCCCGTGTCGGTTTCACCACTCTTATACCCAAACCCTGTTTCGTCTGTCGTCAGATTGAGCAACATGGTGACAGACTTGAGTTCCCAGTCCGTGGCGGGTCTCATGTTCAGCGTTCCTCGAGCTAGATGTGGAGCGCACACTATTGTAGCACATTGCGGTGTATTGGTCATTATATAGCATGTATCAGTCAACAGTAGCGTGAAACAGCCTAGTATGCCGTGTCACACATGATCGATCCTGCCACTCTACGAGCATAGTCTGTGTTGCACTGCCTGTGCTCGCTGCTCGCACGTCATTTAGCATGATGCTGGAATAGGCATTGGCATGTCACCCACACGCGCCAGACAAGCCCAGACACCCGAGCGAGTACCACTCCCCAGCAAGTGTAACAAGGAGCCTGTGATCTCAACTTTGACAGTCACGACCGCCACTTGGCATGACGAAATGACACCAGGCAGTGGCCGAGGTCCGGCTAATGCTTTCAGGTTGCGGTTGCGGTTTCAAGATCTGCGTAGTTGAGACATTCCCTGCGACCACCTCCTTGCACGTGATACTTTGGTGTGGGTCTTGGGCTGCCTGCCTAGACTTCCGAGACACATGCTCCACTCTTAAGCCGACTTCCTGGCCATCGTTGCCGCTGACGGTACCGAAAGCAGCGCTGATAACCAGCAACAGCAGCAGCAGGAGCAGTGGCAGGGCCCGGGGCGGGGGCAGGAGCAGGAGCAGGAGGAGTAGCAGTAGTCGTCGTCGTCCTGGTGTTGGTGGCAGTGGTAGTAGCAGCAGTCGTGGCAGTAACAACCGGGGTCGTTCGCCAAGAACTTCATGAGGACCCCGCGATGGGCCCCACGCCGAGAATGAGCAGCATCACCATCAGCAGAAGAAGAAGAAGCGTCAGTTTATGTCAGCATCATCATGTGCGTCTGCTCGTTGTAACACCATAGTAACCAAGGTTCAGGATGGTGTTACGATGACGGTGACAGGGATATTGTTAATGATTGCCTTGCGCTTGGTGATTGTGATGGTGGTGGTTGCGCTGGTGCAGGTGCTTTTGGAGATGGCTTTAGAGCTGTTGCCGCCCTTGCTGGTGCTCGGACACGTCTATGCCGATGCCGATCGTGGCATTTGTTGGTCCATTGAAACCTCGTTCCCTTAAACCCTAAACCTCCTTCAGGTTAGCACTTGCGAAATCCTCACGATTGACAAGCTGGCTTTCGCACGCATTACCGGCATGCACCTCTCCGACGGCCGACGGAGGCTGGCGATTCAGGGGCCGTGCCTACCTATAGACGTCTCCATTGTAGTTCCTTTTTTGCTTTAACCAGTTATATATATATTAAGGATTTTAGGAGGTATCCCCAAAAAGGAACTACAATGGAGACCATAGGTAAACTTCTACGTGGGTTCGATATTTGCCCGTCCACTCGGCGCAGTGGTCTGCCACTCCCTGTGTCGCCCTGACAGGAAGCTGAAGGCTATGAACTCGAAGCAAGGCCCAGATCAAGTGGTGCCTAGAGCTGCAAGTGACCCCCCTGGGCCGCTTTAGTTGATAACATGTAACTTTCAATCTTATTTAACATCTTCTCTATGGATTAATACAAACTAAGAGTAAGCAGTATAACGTACGCTTCGGAGGTCGGGATGGTCATGTGGAGACTTTGGGCATAGCAGACTGAAAGACGTCAAGATCCTGTAGGTCAGGCTTCACATGCCCGCAAGCAAAGTGATAGACCCTAAACCCTTAACTGACCCTAACCCTCCAGGTACCTACTATATAGGGCCTTAGGGGCTCTAGTACCCTATATAGTAGGTACCTGGCAGGTTAGGGTGATGGAGACATCTTAGGGCAAGTATCCCCCACATAGCTACTTAGGATCCTTTGTTTTAGTGCTTGCCGTGCTGGTCTATGCTTGGTGATCTATCGACTCCCTAAAGTCAGAGAACCCCCAAACTCTCAGTGTGCCTGCAGACTACCTAGAGGCTCATACCCTACCCCTTTGTGAGGGTACCGACTTGTCTATATAAAGGATCCTAACAATAAACCTAGGTACCCTAAGAAAGGGGTAGGGTACGACCCCGTAGGTGGGGGAGTGATTCTCACAGGGGAACAGAGCAAAGCACTGGGTCGCGAATCCACGCGCACGGACTGCACTTTGTTCAGGTAGTAGAAGACGGCATACCCCCTGACCTGCACCAGCATCGTGGAATATCGTGGGTTGATGGATGTGAAGATGCTCGAGCAGAGGCTCGAAGTCCTTGCAAGCCTGTAGTGCCCATCTTCGTTGCAAATCTGTACTTCTACTAGAAGTTCTCCGTACCATTGGCAGTCTGCTGCCATGCGCACGACATCCCATCGGCGAAAGCTTCATTTAATCGCTCCGCGACGCTCAGGAGCTCAATCGGCAAGCCGACGATTCACAGTCAAGGAGCGGCGCTGCGGCCGCAGCAGCTGCTGTGGTCTCTTCCTAGGCGAGAGGAAGGCATCTGTCTTTGGGCTGGAGCACTCTGGGGGGGGACTCTTGTTAGTGAGTGATGACCACTTTAATATGAGCCTGTACACGGAAATGCTGAGATGATTCAGCGGGTTAATCAGCAGAAAGTGTCGTGGCGGTTCCAGGGCTTAGTGGCTTAGTGGGTGCATTTTTCCTGCACTACATCTAAGGACTTTAGGAGGGACCCCTAATAGGGACCCTTAATCCCATGACCTTAAAGAACCATTTTATAGTCTTTATATACCCCTTATATAGCCAGGTAGTCTTCATATTAACCCCAATTATCTACAAGGGTCCGTGTTAAGGGTCCCTCCTAAAGCCCTTAGACTACAGCACTTGGGCAACGACCGGACTACTGAGCAAGGACATGACAATCGGGTATTCTTGCCTGCTTCTGCACGAGAACAGTCCTCTCCTCTCCAGTTCCTCGCTGACTATCCCTAGGGCTCCAGTTACCTAAATAGTAGGTTACTGGGGTACATAATGCATGGTTAGTAACCTATTATTTAGGTAACTGGAGCCCTAGGGTATCAGTGCTCATTACATGCATTCTCCCACGCTTCAATCTGCTCATAAGGTCCAGCGTGCACAAACTTAGTGTTTGGAAGCTGCACGCACAGGGAAGAGTTCGTGCCAAGCTGTTGTACGTTGCTTCTCGGTGAACCTTGAACTCTTAGCGCCACGTAAACCCCGATAAACCAAATGCAGGCATGCGCGGCCTGGTACAGCCGCGGTTGCCCACCGACCACCACCGCGCCCCTGCGACAAGCACCGCACTGCGGAGTGAAAACGACGAGGCTGGCGTCAAAGACGCCCGTTTCCAAGCTTCCCTTTTAATTGAGATTGTCAGATCTGTTGCACATCGTATGTCGCTGCTGTCCCGCATGGCAGCTTAGAGTACCTTGGGAGTGCTGATGTGCTCCGTGTCGTTGATGCTGCAAGGTCATGATCAGTAAAGATCACTCTTTGACATGTTCATTTTTGCGAAAGGTGTTGCCATCGACAGCAGTGCACAAGACAAAGGACCGCACGTGTAGCATGCATGCGCAATCAAGCTTCGCATGCTATCTTCCGAGGCAAATTGGACAAAGTCCATACTTGGTATCATGGGAACTTGTACGACTGACATATGCCCACCACTTCAGTCAGGGCCCAAGCCTGTTTTAGTAAACCGGCGTGTTTGGACTTCAGGCTCAAAGGAAGCCGACATCGTGCCTCGCAGGCTAGGATTGGTATTGTGATTGTGCAGCTGTACTGCAAGATTCGCAGGGTGTTGGCACAAGCTTCCCTGCCGTTTCCCATCTCTGACGTGGCGCCCGTGACTTTAATTTCCTACGAAGCTCTCGATTCCTTGAAGATACGATCCCCTGCTGATCCTGCTGCACCTGTCTTGGCATATCTCTAGCATCTATGTTTATAATGGTGGTAGTCAGCAGACATATCCTTTTACTTCTTCCAGCCGAAACCGTTGACCTTCCAAGCTCAGCCCTAAACCCGAAGCTCAACCCCAAACCCCTAAGCCCTGAAAGCTCATCGCCAATCTGTGCCAGCACTTGCATAGCTGCACCCTCGTGTTGCGAGCTGGGCCCAATCGACGGGCTGCTTGAGGGTCCCAATCGACGGGCTGCTCGAGGGTGATTTCTAGGATTCTAGGATTTACGCAGGATTTCGATGGTTAGGGTTTAGACGTTTAGGGTCTCGCCTTTCTCACGAGCGGTTTTACGAAACCATTGATCTTTCGGCGGGGGCTCTTGGACTTGAAAGAGTTGAGCTCGTAGGTTCATCTTGAGTTAGGTGCCTTTTTGTTCGTGATGTGTCGCTGCTCTTGTGTTCATGCAGTAGTAGTCTTAGTAGGCGGCATGCTAGTCTCAGCAGCAGCAGCAGCAGCAGCAGCAGCAGCAGCCAACATCATCATCGATGTTCATCAGCACCGATCAGCGTTGTATTCCATCATCATCATCATCATCATCACCATCAGCAACAATCATTGTCGCAGCAACATCGAACCTATTGCAGTTGACTCTCTTGTAACTGGAACTATGCTCTCTTCCTTCCAGTAGAGATCCACACGATAGGGTCAGCCCTGGGCCCAGAATCGCCAGATGTTTTGGTGCAGTGCCGGTAGGGACAACCTTGGACGACTGACCGGATGACGGACACCGCAACTTCTATCGCCAGGTCGACACACTCAACATGCACCATAGTAAGGATATACTTGAATATACAAGCATATACTTTAACATGCTATAGTATATATATATATATTATATGTATTTATACTCGTTTCTCTGAGCCCCAAGCCCTGATCCCTAACCCATCTCCTGGACCATGAATCAGAAACCGTTGAGGGTTTTTAAGGTACAGGTACTGTTCGTATAGGATAGGAGTGCCCATGCTTGTGAGCGAGAGTTCTGATGTTGTTCTTGAGGCCTTAAGGTGATTTTTCCCGAAAACAGGAAGACCCCGAGAACCAGATGTTCCCGAACCACGTTGCTACGTTAGCCATCAATGCCGAAACGGCTGTGCTACTTCACAGCGCCCACAGCTTACAGGCTCATGTTCCCATCTACTACTACTACTACTACTACTACTACTACTACTGCTACTAGCGGTAAGAAACAGGGTGCCCTTACCCTTTTGCCAGGTTTCACACCTGCTCTCAGTCCGTGGGCGGAGATGCCGAGCATCGTCCGCCCTCGTGATATCCACGGAGTTCACAGTGCAGCGGACAGCAACTCTGTGCGGCTGGCGAGCCGCGATGGGTTTGGTGATAAGGATTATATGGTTGAGAGGGTTTAGAGATGTAATCGTGGATGTGAGCCGATGTCACTGGAAGAGCTGACTGTAGATATTTCTCTTTTGTTCTTCATGAAGCGGTTTCTGTCGCTGCACATTCTCCTTAGATACGGTTCACCCGACTCAACATGATGCGTTTTCGTGCTTTCCCCCAGTCGCACGTCTAGCCAAGAGTATGGGTTCGCATGCAGTATTCAACACATGTGCGTCGTCGTGGAGCTGCCGGACAGAACACGGATATAGTAATGACACTATTACAGAAGAGTCTCGACAGCAGCAGCAGCATGAGAAACCAAAGTCACAGCAGTACTCACACCGCACGAGATGGCTTGAGGCATTCAAAAGGCGAAACTCAAGGAATGGATCGCATTTTCACTCAGCTACTTGGCGGGTACTTGTTATGAGGTCGTACCTGCCCTGGTTCAATAGGAAGGACTAATGACTATGCATGTACAGAATTAAAGAGGCACAGCACAACATGCACCACCGAAAAATCTTGCCGAAATCCAGCAAGAAGAGACGCACAGAATACACGGAGATGTACCTCTGTGTGTACATTTCGTGTGTTTATCTATCTACCTATCTACCGTCCTGCCTCGCTACCTGTTTGTCGGTCCTAGTGTCTGTCCATCCATCTAATTATCTATCTATCTGTCTATCTATCCATCTATCTATCTACCTATCAACCCATCTATCTATCTATCTATCTA